AAAAAAAAAAAAAAAAAAAAAAAAAAAAAAAAAAAGAAGTGTCTTGTGTTATGATACTTCGCCTTCTACTCAGTCCCTAGTGCTGTTATTTTTGGATGTGCACGTGAAGCATTGCAAGGAAAAGTAGGAGAAGCACAGAGAAATGCCCAAAAATGAGTAGGATGCTGTCCACTAGCTGGAGTTGGACTAAGGAACTTGTTCAACAGACTTTGGTAAAAGGAGCCTTGATTTATTTACATCCAAGTTTTGTTGTGTCTGTGCTTCCATTCTTCTTTAAATTCTCTAAGTTTCAGACATCAAGTTTGTAAAAGGTTGTAAATATATATACCCCATCATTTTGATGGCCATACAATATAAATGAAATTGTTTGAAAAATCTCTCTACAAAGTATTATTATATAACCCAAATCAGATGTTATCTCAATTTTATAGTTTTATCCCTTTGTGGTTTGATACATTTTTCTATTTCAAGTCCTGGGATGAAATGTCGTTCATCCCAAGAAAGTCAAGTGGTCTGCAAACTTTATCAAATACTAATAGGGATTAATAGAAATGCATATCATACTGGTGAGATTTCTTCATCTCATTAGATTCTAGTGAACTATGTCAAGATATGGAAATGCAAGTATGTATAGGTAGCACAGGGCTGAGAGAATATTAGGTTCTTTTACAAAAACATCAGAATTATATCAAAAGGCACATAACTGAAGTGAAAAACTACATAAGATGTTAATGTTTCTGAAAACAATTTTAAAATACTTTCATAAAAAAACAAAACAAAATAAAAACAAACTGGGAGCTTTTTTCACAAAGCTAAAAAAATTATTTTAGGAACAAATTATAAAAGAAGAGCATAGATTAAATTGCTTATGCACTGTAGAAAACTAGAAAGAAGGACTGCAAAGAATTAGTGCTAGGAATTAGAGCCCTTTCAGCAGCCATTTGTTTCCCATTAATTTTTTCATGCAATCGCCTTATGAAACTTTTCACCTGCTAATTTACTTGCAAATACTACTAAATCCTAAATTATATGCAGGCTTTTCTCCTGCTTTCTGGAGAACTAGCCTTAATGGAGGGCAGGATTTATTGTTAATATATCCAGTTTCTTTCTCTCTGATCCTGATCTGGAATAAATCATTTCCTGCACTTAATGAGTCCCTTCCATTAATAATGTTAAATTAACTGTTGACTCGGTTCCACACTCCAAGTAATAGCACAAAATATTTGTTAATTCTTGAAAATTTTCAAAGTGGTATTTTCTAATTTCCTTCTTTCTTTCTTTCCCTTCCTCCCCCTTTTTCTTTTTCTTTCTCTCTCTCTTTGTTTCTATACAAAACAGGCCCATATTTTTGCCCCCATATTTCAAATGGAAAACCCGAGGCTCAGGAAATATATGATTTTTTCCTGCTAAAGTCCCATAACTCCGATTGAGAGATCATAATCAGAGGTACTTACACTTTACTAATTCATTAATTTACTAATTCAAATATTAATATTGAATTCCCATAGGTGCCTGGAACTGTGCTGGGAACTGGAGAAGAAGGGAAGAGGAAGAAAAACACAGGCTTCACCCTCCAGCAGCCCAGCAAGACAGGGGGACAACGAACAAGTAACTGAGAAGATGAGTAAGAAAAATTGTGAGGAAAACTACAAAGCACTTTTTAAGTGAATGACAATGGGACAAAATAGGTCTTAGGGGTCATGGAAATGATCTTTGAGAAATGGTGTCCAAGCTGAGACCTGAAGAAAAAAGTAGAAGTTGAATACAGAGAAGGGATGTTAAATCAGAAAGAGATATAAACTTATGGAACATTCTGGAAAGTGAAACAAAGTTCATTATGAACAGAATTTACAGAGGAAAGGATATCAGGTGCTTTACATTTTTCCCCCCTCCGTCTAGATCTAGATGCTTTATACCTTGATGTACTTGACTGATGGCTTTTTATTTAGGTTTTGGCTTATATATTGTTTTCTTAGTGAAGTCTTCTTTGACCATGCAATTTACAATTAAATACTCCCAGCACTCTCTTTTCTTCTTTAGAGCTTTATTTTTCTTGCTGCATTTATTATCTTCTGATGAACTGTATACTTCTCTCTACCTCTACCCCCACCTAGAATGTAAGTCCTATGAGAGCTGGAGCTATTATTTTGTTCCCTGTAGTATTCCCTCCACCATCAGGAGGGGCTAGTACACAGTAGTCTGTCAATAAATGTGCATCAAGTGAAAGATGAAGAAAACAAGTAGACAGCAATGAAGGCCAGCAAACAGGCAGAGGCAGATCTTTTAGGGTGTCACATGCTACGAAAATAATTTTGTTTTTATGTTAACAACAAAGAAAAAGATTGTGGATAGATTTCAATAAGGAAATAACATGACTTGTGTTTCTTAAAAATAATACTTTGGCTTTAATATGGAGATTGGTCTCAAAGGGTGAGGAGCTGATGAGGAGGTGGGTAGTGAGGAATTCATTGCCGTGATTAAAATTACAAATTACACTGACATGGGATTGGAAGTGAAATGCATGGTCCTCGTTGGAAAGAGCCTTGTGTGTCCTATTGAGGAGCTTGAACTTAACTTTGAAGGTAAGAGGGAACTATTCTGGTAGACTACTCAGGAGTGTGGTTTTTAGCATCGTGTTTTGGAGAGATGACTCCGACAGTAGTATTTGGAAAGTTGAATAAGGGTTTGATATGAATAACTGTCCCATTTGTAGGTTAAGTGACTTGTTCAAGGTTACACAACCAATAGATAGCATACTTGAAATTCTGACTTTGAATTGAATGCCTCTGCCACTAAACTAAGTCATCTGTTACAATGATATTGTATAATAGTACTATTGATAGTATCATGTCTTGTTAGATGCTAAGTTTTATATATGCATAATCTCATGTATTTCTCACAGTAATCTTTATCACACACACACAATTGCACACAAACACAAGCTCAGTGTTGCAGACTATTGTTCTCCCAGGCTCCCAGCCTAGAAGGCCCATGTCGCTTTAGAATGTCCCTCCCCACCAATTTTTATTCCTGCCTGAAGCTGGCACTTAGCTGCTTTTATTTCTTTTCCCCATAAAGCCTTCTTATTCTCCTGTTCAAGGAGAAACTTCCTTTGGGGTTTCCTCTGACCCAACAGACTGAGTAAAGCACCTATTCCCTGACAGTTTGAGTCTTGAAGAATTTGGGCGGCTGATTGAAAACTGTTTAGCAATATTAGTATTTTTATTACACGAAAGCGGAGATCCAAAACAATAGCCTGTGGGTCGCACATAGCCATTTCATGGAGGAGGAAATGGAAGTTCAGAGAAAGAAGATAATTTAAGGTAAAACAAAACAAAAAACTTCCTCCCTCCCCAATAAAAACTAACCATGTTCTTTCTGATGTCAAAATCTATAATCTTTCCACTAAATGACCTTGCTTTCATATCCTTTTACATAGGTTAGAGTGTGACATATTTTCGAAAGATGTTAAGGTTCTGTTTTCAAATGGAAAGCTTCAGTTGTAAAGAAAAATCATTTATGTTAAATGTTTTATTCCCATTCAAATTATATTACTGAAGGAAAGGAAAGTGCTTAAAACCTGTACTTTGTAAAAATCAATTTGTATCTATTATGGCAAAAAAAAAAAAAAGGAAGAAAAGAAAAATCATCCAAATTAACTCAATGTTTCCATTTTTATGCCAATTAAGATGGTAATAAAATAGAGTATTAATCCTTGCTTACACAAGTTGGCTCCCACGGAAGAAAAGAAAAATCATCCAAATTAACTCAATGTTTCCATTTTCATGCCAATTAAGATGGTAATAAAATAGAGTATTAATCCTTGCTTACACAAGTTGGCTCCCACAGTGAAGCAAGAGTTTTGTTGTTAGGTAAATCATATTTGCTCTGAAGCTATTTTGGAATATTCCTCTAAATGGTGATGTAATTCTGCAACTCACACATATTAGTGTTTAACATGAGTGATTCTCGCTTTCTATTGAGGCACTGGCTGCTCACCAGGAAATTGGCATTGGCTCTCTAAAGTCATAATCATTATATAAGAAACATCAACTCCTGTTTAGAAGTCAAAGTACAAAAATAATTTGGTTTCTGTGCCTGTGCCCAAGATAATTAGTTATAAATAGACTTGACCTTCTCTTTGGCAAAGAGCAAGCATAGCAGGGGTCTCGAAAGCATAGGGCAACCAAGTAAAGTTGAGCAATGCTTGTTTTGTGCAGTGATGCCAGGCCTGGAAGGGGTGTAAGGACGAAATCCAGCCAACATTCAGCCTGCAGGTATCCAGGGAGACAAATTTTTTCCAATTTGTCCAGAATCTTGTATAGGCAGGCTGAAGCTGATGAGCTATATGAACTTGGGCAACACTTTCAAATTCTTTGAGTCTCATTTCTTAAACTGTAAAATTGAAATAGCAATATTTAGGCCACAAAATGCATATTTATGAAATCATATTGTAAATTGTATACTCAGGCACACATGTGTTTTTGTTCACAATTTTAATGACATTGGCCCTTTTCCCAGATATACCCTGCCTCTCTTCCCTTGAGCAAATATTCCCTGTTAAGTATTTTTTTAGTAAAACATTATTACCTAATAATTTTTTTTAGTAAAATAAGTTCTGCTCCAAATTTTTAAAAATTGACTCCATTTTATTCCTGAAAGTGCTAGTATTCTGAATAATTTATGAAGAAGTTAGCAATAGCAATTAAATAACAGAGATTTAATACTTAGAATTAAATGTTAAGAGATTTTCTTAACATTTATTTTTAACATGTATCTTTTATTTGGTTATAATCAAAAGACATGGTTTAGAAAATATTTTCTAATGCACAGTAACTTGTATCTTTTATTTGGTTATAATCAAAAGACATGGTTTAGAAAATATTTTCTAATGCACAGTGTAAAAAAAATAAAAATGATGCAACACAAATTTCTGTCAGTTTATTTCTCACATACCAATATATCTCTAAGTAGGCACTTCTTTTTTTTTTTTTTTTTATTTTGTACAATTCAAACACAGAACTCAGTGCATGTTCACATTACCCAGAAATAACCTACTCAAGTGAAAAACATGAGTGGATAATTCAAGTTTCATTGAAATGGTTGTGGTAAGTTTGCAAAATGTTTACATCATATACCTCACAGCAAATTTCCTAAAACAGATACATCTAGCTCCCCAAATCCTCTAGTCCCCAGAGGAATATCAACAGGATTAATCTTCATCAGTTTTACCCAATGCAATCCCTCCCCATTTTTCAGTTCCCATCTCTTTTCTTCTAATTCCCTAAACTGTAATTGCTTCCTCACTCTATTATGCAGAACAATTCAACAGACTTGCAAACCCACACCTATTCTACAGCTATCCAAGCAAGGAAGGATAGTCAATTTTTCAGAAACCATTTCTCCTTAAAATAGGGTAGGGGGTTATGATATTGATAATGACGATAAAATCTTGACACTTAGATGCATGCATTTTTTAATTTTATTTGGTAGACAACATTTTATCAGGAGTTTCTTTTATTTTTTTGAAGCCCATATGGCAATCCTACATAAAGGAGAATATCACTGCATTTTAATGTATTTCTGCTGCTAAGACTAAGTTTATTCTTCTGTGTACAGTGGCTTTCTTCAAATACTTCAAAGAGTCAGGCAGTGTGAAGTTGGCAGTTTTGGAAGGTGGGATTTTGGAAGGTTCTTCTACAAAGTAGGAGTCTTTTTGGAACTCCTGGTCTCTTGGTGTCTATCCCAAGAATTCTTCCATACCTAGGCAGTCAGGGGATGTATGTGGATGTAGAGGTGCTATTGGGCATAAGAGACTTTGGCCTTTTTACATCCATTTTCTACATGTTTTTCCCTTCAAACCTAAAGAAAAAGATTACTTATGACACTTTACAGACACAAATATCGAGTAGTGAAATTTGAACCAAATTGAACTCCCATTTTCTACATGTTTTTCCCTTCAAACCTAAAGAAAAGGATTACTTATGACACTTTACAGACACAAATATCGAGTAGTGAAATTTGAACCAAATTGAACTAGGGCATAGATTGTGCTGGAGTGGAAATGCTTTCTCTGGTTTTGTACACACAAAACATGTTTATATTCACATCTATGCACTGAAACATTTGGTTTTTGAAAGGGAGAAAAAAGGCAAGGTTTTTTGCCTCAACAATTCTGGAAAAAAATTAAGGAACAGTATATGTATGTGCATGTAGTTGGGTGGGAGGCAAGTTATGCAAAATTACAAGATGTTGGGCACAAGCAGAACTGCATTTTTGGCTTAGGAATTAGTGTGGCAAATAGCTGGGGAGGAAGCAATTTTTTACCTTTAGCATATAGCCCAAAACACCCGTGGCACGGTAAAGATAGAAGAAATGAGACTATTAAAAGAAAGCAGATGTAGCATTAAAAACAATGGCCATGATACAGAATCTTTAAGGAGTTTTTATCTAATGAAATAATGACAACGACAACAACAGCTGCTTACATGTTTGATCTAAAGCCACAAGGTGGCAAGGTAAAGAGATTAGCATCCACAACCTCTGTAAGTGATGTTAACGTCCAACTGTGATTGGAAGTTAGGTGTGGAATATACTAAAAAGCATATGTACTTCACAGGGTCTGGTTTTCCAAAGTCTTGAAGTTTTAGATATTAACCTTGTGGAGGACTGGAAGTTTTCCTCAGGCTATAAGTCTCTGGTGTAAGATAAAGATTTGTGGCACATCAAGGTTGCTGGCTCAAGGACAGACTAGTTACTGATTGTTATGTAAAGATAGTGAGAAATTGCTGTAAAATCACTTAATTGTCTACTGGAATGTCATCTGGCTTGTTTCACTGAAAGTTTCCAGCCTATACTGTTAAACTATAACCCCACCTTTATTCTCTTCCTGTAACTTCCTGGTCTGGAAAATAAATACAGGAAGAGAACCCCAATTCGGTGTTAATTTCCCGAGGAAGGGTTGCCTCTTGCTGGAGGGTCCCTGGGAAGTTAATCCCTGTGGGGCTTCTCACTGCTCTAAGGAGATGGGCTTTGAGTAATCCTTTGCATCTCTGTCACACAAGGGAAGTGGGGTGACAAATACTTGGGGGGCAGAGCAACACAAAGCAACAGTTAGGGAAAAGGACAGAGTGGGAGGAGGCTTGGATTACATCGGGTTCCCTGATGAGGCGCCTTAAACTTCTTTTACTTACATTTCCCCAGGTTCTTGGGTTTTAGATGAGAAAGGAGACTATATGTATGAACAGAAAACTGGAAAACAGTAATAGTCTATTAGGCAAATGCAACAAATATACCTCCTTTTCTCTGGAGCCTCTGTTTTCACTGATTGCTGATAATATACCATGATTCAAGTTGAGAAGTCACTTTAGAAGTAGAAGTCATTTTTACTAAGACTGATGACTAAAATTTTGGCTGCAGCAGCTGACAAATATTGAATTTGTACAAAGAGCCAGGGAAGCAGTTTCTCCAAAAGAGAGGAGAACTAATGAGGGTCTGTGCTTTTATTTTTATTTGGTCTGTGCCTTTCCATGTATCTGTTTAATAATCATTGCAAAGTTAAAAATTAGTGTTTCCTTTTCCTTATAATATGCATACTCTTGAAATCATTGTCAATAAAATTAACTCTTTCTTTATTTCTGGAATATTTATTTGGCAGAAAATTTATAAATTATGGTGCTGTAGATTGAATTTCCCTCCACCCCCACATACACATTTAAGCTTAATACCCCTATAACAGTTGAGGGTGGGAAATCCTATTATGGTAATTGAAAGGTGGGGCCTTGACAAGCTGATTAGATTGGGAGGACTATACCCTAGTCAATGGATTAATAATAGTGGTCATGGGTGTGGCTCTGAGGGTTTTAAAAGGAGAGAACTGAGAGTCTCTCTGCCCTGCCATTCTGCCGCATAAGACACCTGTGTCACTGTCACCATATGATGGGAAAAAAATTCATCCTAAATGTGACCTGGGACAGAAACATTTTCCTTAATGTGATTGACAACCTCTTTCTTGGAATGTAAAATTTTTAAGAAATTATCTGATGTACTTTACTATGATTACATTTTGGGGGGAAAACCCATAATTCTATCTACCCATCTGATTACAAGTCAAGAGTCTAGAGACCTTTAAACAACATCTTTTCTTTCAATAACTGAAGTGTAGAACAAAATGGCTGTCTCAATATGAGGCCATGATATATCTTGTGAAAAGCATTGCATCTTTTACATATCTATATTAGTCCATTTCCATTGCTTATAACAAAAAATTCAGAACAGGGTGAATTATAAGCAAACAAAATTTATTGTTTATAGTTTCTGAGGCTGGGAAGTCCAAAGTCCATCTGGTGGTGGTGACAGTGACCAAGGGGTCTCACATTGCAAGATGGCAGAAGCAGAGAAAGCAGAGAGAGAGAGAGACAGACTCTCCTCTTCTTTTAAAGCCCTCAGAACCATGCCACTGACCACCATTTTTAATCCATTCACTTCTACACAGTTCTACACTCCAATCACCTCTTCAAGACTCCACCCTTCAGTTACTATAATAGGATTTCCCATACTCTTAACAGTCACAGTGGGGGCCAAGTTTCTAATACATAAAACTTGGGGGACACAATTCAAGCTTCAATGAGTTTGTGGGGGACATAATTCAATCTACTACAATATCTCCACAGTAAGACTGAAACTCCCTAACACAAACAAAAGAACTAGGGAGAAAAAACTTCAAAAAAATGAAGAGGAAAGCAAAAGTAGGCAGAGAAGAGTGTTAAATCAAGACAATTACCTGGAGGCCACAGAAAATCAGAATGTTGGCCTCAGACTAGAATAACTTATTTCTATAAAAATAATGAACTCCTAAGACTTGTCAGAGAAGAGATAAAGTGGATTAAAAAAAATTGCAGGAAAAAATCCTATCTTCCTAACTCTGTTGACTCGAAATTGGAGAATTCCAATTTTAAAATGCTCTTCAAATGTAATTTTAATAAATGTTTTTGACATTTGTATACATGGTTTATTTTCCTTTTTACTATATATGTTCCTTTTGGGACAGTATGCAGAAAGAAATTGTTTTCTTTCAGTATTTTTCATCTTGTTGAGTAGGAAAGCAAGGTTTTCTGAGTTAGTCCATGCCATGTTGAGAAAGTGTCATATTCAAACACTAATCCTTATTTCCACTCAAGTTCTAATTTCTCTGTGAGCTACTGGACAGTCATTCACTCAAGAAATATTTATTGGGCACACAATGTATGTGGAAGAAACTATGATATAGGACAAGGTGGTGAACGAGACAATCATGGTACATGCCTTCAAGGTGCTCATTCTGATGGGAAAGATATGGCTTTCTCTCTAAAGTTGCCTGTCTAGACCATACTACATTCTTTCTTTTCTAATTCTGTTACTTGCAGCTGGTACTGCAAAGTGTAGGACTAATTATGTTCTAATTATTTGTTGGTATCATTCCCCAACTAAATTACATACACCAACACAGAGCAGTGATCATATACTTATCCTTTTATTTTAAGTTCCCATGATGCCAAGCACAATGCTGATCCAGGAAAGACACTTAATATTTGCTGATTAACTGATGGATATGTGAATTACTATATATTGAAAATCATTATAGGGACTTCTGTAGAACACATTATCATAAAATTCTTTAAAACAAGAAGCAATATTTGACTAGCTCTTTAAAGGGTGGAGTTTTCCAGGTTGCTAGGAAAGTGATTTATAATATGTTCAATGATTTGGAGGCATGAAATGGAAAAACATATAATTTAATAATGCAGAAAATATTTAGTGGTTACTTTCTACTGGGCACTATTCCATGTACTTACACTTGTACATATTGACTCATCTACTCCTCACAACCATTCTCTAAGGTTGTAGTATAATTATTCCAATTTTTTTTTTCCTTTTTGTCTTTTTTACTGACTGGTAACGGGATCGCATCCCTCGGTGTTGCGCCCACACCCCGCTCAGCCAGTGAGCGGGAACCGGTCTCCACATTGGATCCAAACCCTCAGCGGGAGCGCTGCCACACTCCCAAGCGGCGCACTCTCCAGTGCACCACCGGGCCGGCCCATAATTATTCCAATTTTGCAGTTTAGAAGTTTGAAACGCAAAGAGTTCAGATAACTTGCTCAAACTCTGAGAGATAATAAACGGTGTAGAAAGATTTTGAACTCAGCAATCTGTTTTCAGAGTTCATGTTCTCACTCAACATACAATACCATATTGCAGAGTATTCAGAGTAAACCTTTTTTTTTAATCATTACACAATGTACAATGTAAACATTTTTGTGGCCCTTTACCAATTTCTCTCTAACCCCACCCCCAACAGTAAAACTTTTGTTGTGAGTCGAGTATGTTATAAACAACAGAATATTAGAATACAAGAACAGTTAGGGTCAGATTCTAAAGAATCAATTATAACATACTAAGTAGTATGGGAGTCATTTTTTAAACATAAGAAGGACATATGGAGGTCTTAAGAAAGAGGATAAAAATGTTGCTGGTTTTTTTTTTTTTTTTTTTTTTTGTCTTTTTCGTGACCGGTAAGGGAATCGCAACCCTTGGTGTGGTGTCGCCCGCACCGCGCTCAGCCAGTGAGCGCACGGCCATTCCTATATAGGATCTGAACCCACGGCGGGAGCGACGCTGCGCTCCCAGCGCTGCATTCTCCTGAGTGTGCCATGGGCCGGCCCAAAATGTTGCTGTTTGAAGGTAACACTTTTCAGGACTGTATAGAGAAAACCGTAGATTTGAGGTGGGAGGAGGGTATTTAAAAACAGGGAGGTAACAAGGTTTAAAAAGTATACTCTGTGGCATCAGTTTGATGTAGGCTCAAATCCTGACTGGGCAATTACTGCTATTCACTGAAATTTCCGTCCTCCTCCTTGCAGGAATACCTGTTTATCCTTATTAACTTAAGCAAGTCCAGGTGATTTGCTTTAACCAAGGAAATGTGAGCACATGTTATATGTATTTGTTACCGCAGCATAACCTAGTCTATCCTGAGAGACATACAGGCTTTGGCACTTAATAGTTTTATCTTAAAGTATTTAACAATGTTTAATAACTCTGAGCCTCTATTTCCTTATATGTAAATAATAGGATAATGATGATGATAATACCTGATTTTTTATTTTTATTTTTTTGTCGCTCTTTGTCTGGCTTATTTTTTTTCTTTGAGTCTGACACATAGCTGTTACTCAGCAGATGCTAATTCAAAGGGAATGAAATAAACAAGTAGCAGAAGCATAATAAGCAGGATTCCAAAGATAGTTTTGAGGCAAAATAAACAGAACCTGAATTCAATTTGGTATATAGAATAAGAAGTAAATGACTAAGATGATCCCAAGTTTCCAATTTATAGAATATAAGATGGATGGTAACGTTAACTAAAATAAGACAGAGGTTAAGTTGACAGATTGTGTGCTTAGTTATCTACAACAAGCCAGATATAAGTATTAAGTTGGCACTTGAGGCTCTGAAGCTAAAGGAGATAGATTAAATCTAAAATTATGGTTTAAAAAATAATCAGCCTGTAAATAATTGAAGGCATGAGATAGAGGGATGTGGTCACTCAAAGGAAACAGGCAGAAAGAGAAAAGAATATAAAAGCCGTGAATAGAACTTTAGGTGGGATTGGTAGAAGGATCCAAGATAAAAGACTGAAATAAATGTGTGCTGAAGTAGCAGAAAAAATAGTTTTTTATAAGGGAAGAGAGGGCAGAGTTATAAGTATAGAGGGATCCTCACTATCAAATTACTGCAGAGAGGTCAAGTTGGGTATGAGAGGTTTCTATAGTTTCTGAAATGTTATGATATGGTTATTATTTTACTTGTGTGAATCATTGTTTTAATTTTTTTTCTTCTGTTGTTCAAGGGAGGATTGATAGGAAGCAATTATGGAATAAAGACAAGGAACTCCAGAATGAATATAAAAGGAAAAGAAAAGTATTTTATCATTTTTTCCCCTAAACTATGATGCCTAAAATTTTGAATAGTTTAAAGGCCATCTAGAATCTCACTGACTTTGTCAATGTGAAAATTCTAGACACAATTCAGAGCAAAATAAAGTAGCTTCTTTTTTTTCCTGTTACATTCTTTTTACTTTCTCTTTATTGTAGCTGCTCGCCTCTGCCCCTGCCCCCACCCCGAATCCCTTTTGGAGTCAAAAAAAACTGACAGTAAGTTTGGAAACAGGATTCTAATATTGTTTCATAATCTGAATTCACATTAGTTACTTACTTCTCTGAGCCTC